ACACACACACGCACACTGACACACACGCACTCACACTGACACACACACGCACACTGACACACACACGCACTCACACATGCTTCTATTCATATTATTGTCTATTCATTTCTATGGGCGTAACCCTAATCCCAGCCTGACGACCGTAACCCCTACCCAGCCCTAACCTTAACCACAAGTAACCAAGCAAAATACAAGACTTTTGGCAGTTTTAGTTTTTTGATTGCAGTCACGGATCTTTATAAAATTGAATTTCCAGTTCTGGGGACTGAAAAAAAAGGTCCCCACAACGTAGAAATAACAGGATTTTATCAAATTGTAGGGACATTTGGTCCTCATGATGTAATATAAACTTAACCCCCCCTCCCCCAATTACAATGTTTACAGGCATATAATGTGCTCGTATTATGTTTAATATTTCTAAAGGTTGCAATTTCAAAATAGATCTGCCCTCATCTCAAACATAGTTCTGTTTTTTTCCCCTCACCTGTGCTCTCTGTGCAGTTCCTTTGCGTGCCACCAGGGTGTGCCTCACCAATTGAATACCTCTGGCCTAGAGCTTGTACGGAATAGTATGGCTGAAAACACTGGTTGTTGTTTCCGGGAGTAGGGGGGTACACCATGAAGCATTTTTCCTCAGTCTGGTTAACTTAATTTAGAAGTCATAATTGTCCAAAAGGGGTTTTGGCAAGTAGCGTTCCTATTGGACAATCATGACTTCTATCTTAAAGGGCAAGTTTATCCTAAAACTGAAAAAATATATGTTTTAGAGTTTACTGGTTTATTGATATCTCTCCATCTAGGTTGTTCTATTGCTAGTTTTTGAGTTTTCGGGCGTAGAAATGTCAGGCTTCTCTGGAATATAATAGGAGTGAATGGGAATGACATATAATGGGAGTGAGTGGGAATGGCATATAATGGGAGTCAGTGGGAATGGCATATAATGGGAGTCAGTGGCATTCTTTCTGTGGTGGTTAAAGCACCAGAAAAATACATTTGAAAAATTCAACAGCAATGCCTCTTAGCAGAAATCCTGACCCAGTTATTGAAGATAATCCACAGACTTTGTAGTGAGCAGTTTAATGTAGGAACTATTATGGCTTTTCTGAATGCACCACTCATCAACCCTTGAAGTGGGCTGTCACATATGTATGGTGTACTGGGCAACAAGTTCAAAGATCATGGGCATGAAACACATAATAATTCATTATTATCCATCCATCATCTGACCCTTTTCAGGGTTTTGGGGGGGGGGAGTTTATCCCAGAGGCTACAGGCACAAGGCAAGAAACAACTCCGGATGGGGTGCCAACCCTTTGTGGGGGCGTGTGTGTGTGGCACATGCACACACACCTATGGGGAATTTGGTAACTCCAACTAGCCTCAGCAGGTTCTTGGGGTAAACCTCACGATGACATGAGGAGAACATGCAAACTCCACGCACACGGAACCCTGGCGGAGACTCGAAAACAGGTCTCAGCACTATGAGGCGACAGTGCTAACCACTGTGTGGCCCCAAGTTTATTATTATTAGTAGTAGTAGTAGTATTTGTTTGTTTATGTGTTTGTTTATGCGTTTGTTTATGTGTTTGTTTATGTGTTTAGCAGTGCGTATTGCTCGTGCCTGTGGACACATTGATCTTCAAAGCTCTCCTCCCCCCATATTGTCCACTATCTAGTTCACACCACATCTAGATGCAGGCGTGAGCAGTTTAAAGCTTATAAAAGTTTAGATGCATACAAGTATTTTTTTCTTGCTGGTCATGTACATGGGACTGGTGAAAGGGAAATTTAAGAAAATGATTGCTTCCGAGTCACAAGGTGAGAGTTATCCTGCAATGTCTAATGATAGATGGACATTATGCAAAACAAGCATTTGTAAAACATCAGCCTTAGGCTGGACAATATGGTAAAATATTGTATTGAGATCATATTAAGAATTATCATATAATCCAAGTTATTATTTCTTTACTTCAGTTCTCCATTTTACTTAAAATTCCCTTAGAATTGCCCTTTAACAGGTTTGGAACATGAAAAAAGCGACAAATTGAATTGACTGCAAACGGAAATCTAATTTTAAGAAATACATCATACAAAAAAATACATAAATCATACGTAAAAATAATACACAAATCCGTGTATTGAGTGGGCTGCCAATTCTCCCGCCTGACCACCACAATCCACTTACTGCATCTTTCTGGGTCCACAGGAAATCCATGAAATGTTAAACCAAGTTTATCACCTCTCCGACGGCTCAGGCATATTAACAAATCTGCTTGAAAACTAACCACATTGCTGCTGCTTTTTCTCCATTGTAAGGTGATGCTTTTTGAAAGACTGTAAATTTCTATGACTTGCACTAAAAGAGCAGACCAAACCATTTTTCACGTTATAGGGGAAGTTAAATCATTTTGACTGCTATGTCAAGGAAAATTAAGGAGATAAAAAAAACTACTAGTTTTCCTGTGATTCACAAATGCTATAGAAAGTTTTCACAAATATGTATTTTTGACAAATTATTCCAGCAGATTATTTAAAGGTTAGGTGGCTCTTAGTGGTGTTTCTGCTTTATATAGAGGGTAGGAGATAACTTGCTGATGTTTCTCTGTCTCCCCCTGTAGGTCAGAGTGTGAACCCCCGAGTAGCAGGGCTCATTGGCCGCAGCGGCCCCCAGAGCAAGCAGCCTTTCATGGTGGCCTTCTTCAAAGCTACTGAGGTGCACATCCGCAGCATCCGCTCTGCTACCAACAAGCAGCGAAACCCCAACCGCACCAAGAACTCCAAGGGCCAGGAGGCACTCAGGGTCACCAACCTGGCAGGTATTTGTCACAGCAAAGTGTTTTTATTCCAGATTTCTAAGAACTGTGTGAGACGCAGAACCATGTGTTGAACACAAAAAGAAGCCTTTCCACAGAGTGTGGCTCTGTCCGAATTTGGGGCTTGCATCCTTTGAAGGATGTGGTCTATGAAGGCATGGCTTTTGTAGACTGCGTTCTTCAAAGGTCAAACAGAAAGCGTTGTCAAATTGGACAGTCTGGCCTCGCCTAGCCAGCACACGCCCACTTCACCTCTGCACAATGAATTTTGGGCTGTGAAGGATCCTTTGGGTGGATTTTTCACGACTCGGCAAAAGAAGGACGCATTTCTAGACCGCATTTGAAAGAGCCTTTCAAACAGGACAGCCTTGTTGCGCCACTGTGACACATTCAGTCGTAGAATGCAGCCTTACAAGGATGCAGCCCCTGGATTCAGACACAGCCAGTGTCTATGCATTTCCAGTAATGAAGGTGTTGTTGTTTCTATAGGCGCTTTCCCATCGAAGTTCAGGAACCTAGTTTTTGATTCCGAGTTCCTGAGCCACATCAAGTGGGAAATTTTGTACTTCCTGGCCACTTCCATCTGTCGCTAAATAAGCACGGGAGACGCAAAAAGCTCGTAGGTTAAACTTCACACATGTAATTTCACACGAAACTACTTTGCCACCTCAAAACAAAGGAGGATGAACAAGTCGTTTCGTTAGTTATGGGGGAATCGCACGCAATTAAAATGGAACGGCATCTTTTATTTATATTTTATTTATATGACCTGCAACATGTTTATAGTTTATTATTAAAGGTAGCCGACAGATCGATCTGTCATGCCCAGCTTCCATGCCTCCTGTTCTCTCTCCATTGTGTGCCTCTAACGAGCCACACCTGTTAATCATTTGTCTTGCATCTCACTAGGGAGAGAGAACAGGAGGGATGGAGGCAGGGCGTGGCACGATTTTTAGTTTTCCACGGGATAAAAAATGTTACCCCGCTAAACAGCACTAGCAAGTTTCACTGCCGGCACATATGATATTAGACAGCAGTATATTGCTTATTGACTTGATTTTTTAACAGAAATATGGAGATGCAAGAAAAAAAGGTATCCATTGATGTATTTAACGTAATTGAGATACAAAATAATTCCATCTTTGGAGTTTTTTTCTCCGCTGCTTCTATCTCTTTTCCTGGCACTTCCACGTATCTTCCAAGTTAGCGCCACTGCTTGTGGTCAACCACTCAGCAAAGTTTACGCCTATAAGCCCCAACCAGTAGTTCTCGGTCAAGCGAAAAATACCTACTCTGGAGTAGGACTAAAAAAGGAAACTAGACAAAGTTAAGAAGCTACAATCTGGGTGAGGTGAAAACATGACAGAAGTTCCTGGTCATTGGAAAATGTTCTGGTTCCTGAAAAAGGTTTGTGCAGTGGGAAAGCACTTATATTGTATATATGCTTGTTTATTAGTTGTTTTCATATCTCCCAAGAATGTCAGAAGCCATATTTGGGGATTTTGCTGGTGATGATTTATAGCTCTAAGCTGGGATTATGAATTAGACATAAAAGTACTGAAAGGTGAAATTAAATCCACATGGACATTTGGCAAGTTATACATTTTCAAATGGATACCCTGGTTATATTACACAACTTCTAACATTCATCAACTTTTATTTTTGATTTTTTATAACACAAGACAAAAAATTCTCACTGAGTTCTGCAAGATGTGAGAGAAGCCTGTGTATGTCAGGAATGTCAGCTCCAAGCTGTAACGTGTCAGGTGTAACGTGTCAGCACCGAGCTGTAACGTGTCAGGTGTAACGTGTCAGCACCGAGCTGTAACGTGTCAGGTGTAACGTGTCAGTACCAAGCTGTAACGTGTCAGGTGTAACGTGTCAGTACCAAGCTGTAACGTGTCAGCTGTAACGTGTCAGTACCAAGCTGTAACG